TTTTTGCTAGAAGCATCAACAACAACAACATCACAATGATCCTCATCGGTGTGATCTTCTACATTATAGAAACTATGATCCTCGAAATTACTAGTACACTGCATCATAGATTTCTCTTGAATCTCTACCGGTAATACACCACCGATCTCGTTATTGACTGAATCATCAATCTCTATCTTCGTTTCCTTAAGCTCCATACCAAAATCCTTTTGATTTCTTCTCAGATAAACCCTAGAAATCATATATCCGTCGAAATCGGAAGGCAAAAACTGAGAAAAAACGCAAATTTACATGAAACCCTAACCGGAATTCGAACCCTAATCTTCGATTAGATCTCACTTTCAGATGCAGAACAACGGAGAAAAAAACCCTAAAAAAACAAAATTTACAAAAACGAAAAAAAATGGGAAAACAATATACCGATGATGGGCTAGATCGGCGATTCCGGCGAAAGGAGATGCAGTAAGTATAACCGGCGGTGCGAAATCACGACGGAGATCTCATAGTCACCATTGTTATCGAAGTCGAAGCTTTTCTTTGTAGAGAGAGAGAGACTGTTTTTTTGCCGTTTTATCTTTGCGAAATACAAAAGTGGGGTCCACTTCACTCGTACGTGTCTTGACTTTTTCTTCGGATTTTTTTTTGTGTGTTAATTGACCAAAAATGTTTTGATGTATTTTTATAGACTAGTAATTAATAATCGTACAAATGATTTGGATCCTCCCAAGGATTTTGTAATCTTTTTTTTTATATCCTGAATCTTATGAATGTTAATGTGAGTGATAATATGAAAAGTATAATATTAAATTGTGATAGTGTTAAACCCAAAAATAATCTTGGAATATGTCAGAATATTCCCTACGTACTAAAAAGTTCAATACATTAACATATATCATCAAGATTTGTTTTTGTTAACCATTTACGGAAATACGAAGCCGAATTACGGATTTTCTTTTTTAGAAATGAATTTTTTCAACCATTTTGACTAAATAGGGTAACAAATCAGTGAGAATCTTTATTATTATTGTGTAGATTCACTATTTTATCACAATCTTTTTGGCTAAGTTCATAAAACCTTTCCTAATGGAATTATTTGTACAAATTTGCTGTCCAAAGCAAACATTCTTGAGATCTCACATGATATTAGCTAAAGTCCGGTTATTTAATGTCTCTGGTTCCTTATAAGCAAAACTTTGCATCGCTAATCTACAAGTTGCGTTTTCCGCTTCGCGGAATCGTTCAATTAAAGAAGATTCACTAACAAATTACAAGTCGATCGCACCGCGGTATCTTATCTCAATCCGATTATCCACGTTCGCTAGCAAACTTAGTTCCGCGGTTGCGTTTCTTTGAGTATATTCACTAAATCGCTTTTGAATCCTCAAAACCAATATCTTATTGAAGGTCTTGGACGCTAAAACGAGGACTCATATGAATCTCTTCGAGGAGGAGTGGTACTGGCTCGGATTAAGCCAACTCTTTGCCTCATCGATGACATTTTCAATTTTTTTCTTAAACACAAATAACATTTTCATTTTATTCAACTACTTGAGCATGCATAATCTGTAAGGTACTGCAAAAAGGTCATTTCCAGTGAGCAGAAAAATATAATGGACGATGCTATATATCAGAAATAGAAATATTAAATATTTTTAGTTGATTGATTTTATTGTTAGTTTTATAGGTATAGATCATAATGATTTGTAATTGATTATTCAAACGGTAATGAAAACCGTTAGACAAAAATGTATTCATTTAAAAACGTTTTTTTTTTACACTTTATTTTATTGAAACTGATTTAAAATAGTTTACATCATGGAAGTAGAAATTCAACATATGAAATACAAAGAGAAACTACTGGTCATTTTCGCATCGAAAAATAAGTGAGGATAATAATCGTTGACGACACATTAACGATACCAAGATGATCTTGTTTCGAATCAAAGGTAGACAATTAGATATTTCCGAATTCACAATAGCAGCCGGATTTCCAAAATCTATTACGATAATATGATAACATTCTCTGAATTTAGATAAATCTCCTCCTTTGATTGCCTTTGTCAATTTTGTTCCGAGTTAGCTCAATGAAACCGCCGTTGAACAAGTTTGAACTACAAAACTTAAATCATATAAATAGCCAAAATTGACTAGAAACTAAACATAGATCTTCTACGAGGGAAAAAACCTCAACTAAAAATTTCTCCAAAAAAAACTAAACTCAATCAAAGGAACACAATAACTCATAAAATCCAAACGGCGAATAATATCGAATCGTCTTCTGACCAAATACTCTATAACATCCTCTAAACTTCATGTCCAGCGTAGAAACTAGTAGTTTATAGCCTTCTCCTTCTCACGATGCCGACAAAAGTACCGGACATCGAAGAGGGAATAAACTCAAATCATTTTTCTTCTTTTCATTTTAAAACGTTTTATCTCCAATTTTTTTATAGTTTTCATTTTTTCATCGATTTTTTTTTAGCCGAATTCACAACCAATTTAAACTATGATAATGTTTATCTATAAGTAGATATTATATATCAATACAATAATTTTTATGAAGATATATATAAATAGCATATCATATATCCATAAAAAATGCCGAGAGCTATTGACAAGTGGCAGAGCCACCTTTCTTTGGCATCTTTGAGCTAAAGGATTTGATCTCACATTTTCTATATGGATATATTGAGGAGAAATTTTGAGATATGTCATTTTTAAATGTTATTTTTCAAAAATGCTATTTTTTGTAAAAATGTTATTTTTTAAAATTATTTATTCAATATATCAATTATGTTTAGGTTAATTATGTTGTGTTATAGGGTTTAGTTTTGATGGTTTACGGTTTGTTTGTGGTCAAATCACTTTTTAGGGTGTAGAATTTTAAAATTTAGGATTTAAAATCTTTAATTAGTGGCATTTTTGCAAATAAATAACCTGTAATAGTATTTTTGAAAATGGACAAAACAAAACGGCATTTTTACAATTACCCTTTAATGGGTCATTGAGTTATGAATATTTTTTAGATA